TGATGGTTGATACATTATCTAGCGCTGCATACCATTTGGATATTTTGTTTTTTTGGTGTTGAGGTTTGCCTTGTGTGCTAGCTGCTGTTCAGATATTTGCGCTCACTTACCCTGTTTTTGTTTGTTAGACATTGGGGCATCTGTTTGGGCAAATTTTGTCCTTTTTTTTGTCTGCTTTTAACCTCCTTAACATTTCTGCCTCTTCACTGCTCAGAAGCAACCAAGACAGGTGTTTATTCATCAACCTATAACAGTTGGTCACTATACTTTTTTCATCTGGAACGAACAACGGCTTGGCATTTGCTACCAAATTTGATCTGAGGTATTTTTGGACTGGTGGCTTCCTCCCGGTTGCTCAGAAAATCTCTCTTTGTGTATCCAATCACTACTGATCTTCATGTACATCAGGTGCTGCTATTAAACAGAGTGCTATCATCGACTGGCATTGTTGCTCAGTTATTTCACTTTCCCTGAAGAAGTGGCTCACATCCCACGAAACGCGTTGGCTCTTTTGATTGATTATCCAGTTTTGGATTCAGTTTTATGGAAAAGCATTTTTGTTTTCTAGTGGAATTGCCACCCTTCTGAAATTTTACTCAATGGTCCATCATTTGGGTAGTCTATATGAATTTAGATATTTTCACTAATTACCAACATTTTTCATACCTTTCATGTCTGTAATCGTCTCAACAGTTTGATTGATTAATATCAATTCTTTTTAATATAGGGTTTTAGGACTCTTGCCCGTGATGTTCTCACATCCCGAGCCAGAGTCTTTGCCCACTATTTTCTCTTTATATTTTTGTTGACTCATTATGTATGTGCCTACATTGGCATTTGTCTTGCTTAGCAGTCTGTGTGTTTTTTTCATAATTTCATAATAAAATATGCTCTATTTTATCCAATATTGCTTATGATTATGCATCTTTATACCCAGAATGGTATGGTACCTTTAAAAGCCCCATTATTTTCTCCTACTAGGGTTTATTTTCTTTACTGTTCCAATAGGGGTGTGGTACCTGTAAAACCTTCACACAAGGACAGGTGAGACCTAGTATCTCTCCAGCTCCCATCAATCTCCAATCTAAAAAATGTTATTTCCAGTAATTGCAAGTAGGGTCTTTTCATGTTAAGGTCAAAGGTGTTTGGTCAGCCAATCAGAAACCCCTTCCACCTTTACTCACTGATATTTCAGAGGGACGTTTGAGCTGTTATATTATTCAGTATGAAAGCACAAGTCTAGAATGGAGTATACATTATTCATACATGGAAGCTACGTAGATGCATATTATAGATTGTATATACATTATATTGCCAAAAATATTGGGATGCTTGCCTTTACAAGCATATGGACTTTAATGGCATCCCAGTCTTAGTCCATAGGGTTCAATATTGAGTTGGCCCACCCTTTGCAGCTGTAACATCTTCAACACTTCTGGGAAGGCTGTTCACAAGGTTTAGGAGTGTGTCTGTGGGAATGTTTGACCATTCTTCCAGAAGTCCATTTGTCAGGCACTGATGTTGGATGAGAAGGCCTGACTCGCAGTATCTGCTCTAATTCATCTCAAAAGTGTTCTATAGGGCAGGCCAGCCCAAACTCGCTCATCCATGTCTTTATGGACCTTGCTTTGTGCACTGGTGCACAGTGATGTTGGAACATGAAGGGGCCATCCCCAACCTGTTCCCACAATGTTGGAAGCATGAAATTGTCCAAATTGTCTTGGTATGCTGATAGCTTAAGAGTTCCCTTCACTGGAACTAAGGGGCCAAGCCCAACACCTGAAAAACAACTCAACACCATAATTCCCCCTCCACCAAACTTTACACTTGGCACAATGCAGTCAGGCAGGTAACTTTTTCCTGGCAACCGCCAAACCCAGACAAGCCCATTGGATTGCCAGACAGAGAATAGTGATTTGTCACTTCATAGAACACGTCTCTAGAGTCCAGTGGTGACGTGCTTTACACCACTGCATCCAATGCTTTGCAATGTACTTGATGATGTAAGGCTTGGAAACCCATTCCATAAAGCTCTCTACACACTGTTGTGCTAATCTGAAGGCCACACGAACTCAGTTGTACAGTTTATAGATCACATTAAAGGTGAAAAAAGTTTTAAAATATTTATCTTTGTCTCTTTTTTTACATCACAGAAACAGTTTAACAGGGGTGTTTTTATATATATATATATATATATATATATATATTATTTATTTTAATTTTTTTTTTAAATAAATCTTTATTTGTATCTGTTTGGCTGATCACACAAGTCCTATTTAATCTCATTAATGATATTGAATTTAGCTCATGTAATCAGCCAAACAAATACAAATAAAGATTTAAAAAAAAATATATTTTTCAATAATAATATATTTTTCTAATAATAATAAATTGAGCTCATGTGATCAGCCAAACAGATACAAATAAAGAATAACCTCTTCCTGCCGACCCTTACGCATATATTGAACTGGGCTTTTTTCAGTGGGGCCACATATATGCGTATCTGTCTTTGTGCTGGGATTGAGCTACACAGCGCACTTCCAGCACAGAGATGAGGGTCTCACTGGGTTCTTCCGGTTTCAGGTCACCTGATCGCTGTGCACTATTGTTTTTTTGGGTTGTACTATGGATACAAACAACAAATACACATATGTGGTATCTCTGCAATCATTAAGAGCAGGATCATTTATTTTGGGTTGTTCTTTGGTGGTAGGTTATGTAGGTAGCAAGAAATATACAGCTAAATTTTTTTTTATATATATATATTTTTTTACTATTTTGGGTCTGTGTCCCTTTAAAAAAAATCTGGAGATATCCATTACCATTTACCACCAAAAGAAAGCCCAATTTGTCCTGAAAAAAAGGTATACTCTACCTGGATGCACAAAGCAGTTGCCATGATATGTATGGTTTTACTAGCACATGTCAAAGTTTCAAAATTGTGTTCACACATTAACATTTGTTTTACCCTAAAGGGTTAAACATATTTTGTTCAATAATATAATATATATTTTTTCTATAGTAATAATAATAGATTGAGCTCATGTGGTCAGCCAAACAGATACAAATAAAGATTCTAAAATATATATATTCATATTGAGTTACGTGACCTCAGAAGGGAATGGTAGTGCTGAGAGAAGGGGAACGAGCACCCTCTGGTGGTGATGTAAGGGTGGCAGTACAGGTTGTCATCTTGGTGTCATGACCCCTGCCAGACCACCATGGACTAGACCCACACAAGGATCCAGATTCCTCGCACACACAGCCCACAGCAGGGTTCCCGCTGCTGATCTGATAAGAGGTACAGCCCAGGTGGCAACGAGAGAGGCTACCAAAGCAGATCAAGTTCAAGGCTTTAGATTTTGAGACATTACTTTTGTAATTAGAGAGTGCTAGATATGAGTCATCATGAGATTTGAGCAATTCTAATGTAAAGACAAAGATAAAAGGGGAAATGGGGCATACATGTTGTGTTTCATTTTATAAAGGAAAATCCTTGAGGAGGGCCTCATTCACTCTCAAGGATGTCCCTTCACGAATTCCCATTGACTCTACTGAATGCTTGTTTAGTGTCTGCTGATAAGAGAGAAAAATTAGTTTATTCCTAGAGCGGGTGAGGGGAATCAGATTCAGGGCTCTACAGGTATTCTCTCTGGCCTTTGAAATATGCAAATATGGGTCCAGATGCTATTTGGACTAGGATCACTAGGGGGAGCCTATCTATTAATGGTTTAAGTTTTTTTACATATATGCACATTTGTGGGTATTTATTTGTATTCATTAGTTTATCTGGGTCTTACTTTTAGCAACAGGAGTGTTTCTGCCGTCTGCATTGTCGGACGATTGGGCAGTAATAAGCACATTGGAAAGTGTTTTTAACTTTTTTAGGGATCAAGGAAATGTATGCCTGGAGAAAATCATTTGGATATTGAGTCCCATATAGAAGTGAATTGTATACATGGAGGAACCACAGTATGAGTGTGTCTGTGAATGTACAGAAATAGAGTGGCATGAACCTGTCGGATCTGAGAGCTGATAAAACTTCAGTGTCTGTTAGTGGATATCTAATAGATTCGCAATGCCTCCATAACCTGTACTCATCACATGCCCTTGCTAACACAAAAGAGGACATGTTAGCCCCCTTGTAATCACAAATAAGTTAAATAGAAAAAAAAGAAATTGGAAAAATAATGCTTTAATAACAATAATTTAATAATATGCAAAAGCACCCTGTTCTCCCCGAACATACATGCAAATGCAAACATACAGTATGTGTAGGTCCCACTGATAACTTGTAAGGGATTTTAAAGAACCCCATATGAAAAGTTTTAGGTACCATTGCCTGCGCAAATATCGTGTGACAAAAAAATTGCGACAGCAGCTGTTTTATTTTCCATGGTCTCTGATTTTAGAAAATATATAATGTTGGGAATTTAACCACTAGACTACAGGGCACTTATACCCCCTTCCTGCCTAGGCCAATTTCCAGCTTTCAGCGCTGTCACACTTTGAATGACAATTGCGCGGTCATGCAACACTGTACCCATATGACATTTTTATCATTTTTTTGTAACAGATAGAGCTTTATTTCAGTGGTATTTAATCACCTCTGGGGTTTTTTTTTTCTTAAACAAACCAAAAACCACTGAAAATGTTGAAAAAAATATGTTTTTTCCTAGTTTTTGTTATAAAATGTTGTAAATAAGTGATTTTTCTCCTTCACTGATGTGCGCTAATGAGGCTGCAGTGATGGGCACTGATAGGCTGCACTGATGGACACTGATGAGGAGGCACTGGTAGGCGGCACTGATAGGCATCGACAGGCATCACTGATGGGCACTGAAAGGCAGCACTCATATATGGCACTGATAGGCGGCACTGACTGGCACTGATAGGCGGCACTGATAGGCAGCACTGACAGGTACTGATAGGCTGCATTAATGCACACTGGCACTGATAGGCGGCACTGACTGTCACTGATAGGGGGCACTGATAGGCAGCACTGACAGGTACTGATAGGCGGCATTGATGCACACTGATAGGCAGCACTGACTGGCAGTGATAGGAAGCACTGACTGGCACTGATAGGTGGCACTGATTGGCAGCACTGATGGGTGGCACTGACTGGCATTGATAGGTGGCACTGACTGGCACTGATGGGTGACATTGAAAGGCAGCTCAGATGGGCACTGATATGTGGCATTGATGTGCACTGGTAGGCACTGATATGTGGCATTGATGTGGCACTGATGGGCACTGGCAGGTGGCATGGATGAGCACTTACAGCTGGCACTGATGGACACTGACAGGTGGCACTGCTGGGGCTACACAGATCATCAGGTCACACTGATCATCAGTGCCCTGATGATCAGTGTACATGTTCCCTCCGAGAAATGCAGATTACCGGCTCTCCTCTCCTCACAAGCTGTCAGCGTGACAGCGCGTGTGGGAGAGAAATGCAGATAACTGGCATTTCCCTATTTACATGCGATCAGCTGTGATTGGACACAGCTGATCACATGACCGAGCCAACATCTTCGGCTCTTTCCATCGATCAGTGATCCGCTGTGTCCGAGAGACACAGCGCACCACCGATCACCGCGCTGCGCGCTCCCGGAGCCGCGCATGCTTGGTTAGAATGGTAGGATGTCATATGACATCCTCCCAGAACGAGAAAACCGCCTTGCACCCGTCATTGTACTATATGGCGGGCGGGAGGCAGTTAATGTAATTTCTAGGAAAAAATAACAATTTTTACATTTGTTCAGAAAATTTGAAAATTGCCCTGGTAGACAAGTGGTTAAACTGATGCTGATGGTCCTACAGTCCACAAAGTGTTTGCTAATAAGGGCTCCACCAATTGGTAGAATCACATCCTTGCTAGCATTATTATATTGGCAGCAGTTACATTATCCAAACATATGTATTCCTAAATTATCGGTAGTACAAGGGTCACTTTTCTTGTTTCCTAAATAGTGACTACTTACTAGTTTGTCTATTAGGAATATGGCCCATCTAAAGACAATTTCAGGGGTGTCCTTAACCTCCCTAGCGGTCTGATTATGTCAGTATTTCTGTGCTCAAAGTGGTACATTTTTTTGCATGGAAATATGTTGTTTTTTTATTGTAGGCCTGTAATTCTTAGGAATAACTCACTGAAATCTATCCGAACAAGAGTCTAGTAAACATCCCGGGTATAATAAAACTTGAAACACAAAATCATAATATAATAAATAATCATAAAAAATAATAATATAATAATAAATTTAATTAAATAATGTAATCAAACCAAAAACACTGAAATTTGAAATAGAGCGCCAAGTTCACACATCGCTGAGTTCAGTTGCAAAATCGTTTTTAAGTGTCTGATGACGAATTTCCCCACGAATCACTATCACTCAATTCTGCAAGTGGTTCTAATTTACTATCGCTGTTCTCTAGCTGATCTAAAACCACTTTTGACCTAAAGGGACGCTTTTTGGATGCCATGGACATTTCTCAGTTTCCAGGCAGAAAGAACAGTAAAAATGCAGGCAGGGCACAGGACAAATCACTAGGGACAAAATGTATATGAAATGTGTATGGTTTGATACAGTAATGTTATACTATCAGATTTTAGTGTACCGTATTTAGTGAATGTCAAATTTTTGAATTTCCCGCCGGTTCCGCCCCCTGTACGTCCCGTACGTACCGACGCTCGTAGGGATCGGAACCCAGAAGACGAATGCCGGCATCGGACGGAGGACGCTGCAGGGGGGACATCACGGAAGCGCAAGACAAGGTAAGTGAAACAGGGATCCCAGAGCAATGCTGCAGTGTAATCCCGAATGTAGCTCAGGCTTACCGCTTTTGGTACTGAAACTTTACCCTGAGCTACACTTGGGAATACCACCAGGGGGGTTAATAAATGCAGCCACCCTGGATCTGCCCCTAAAACTCATCAGTATTTTTTGAAAACATCTCAAAATTAGTTGTTATTTATAGCGGGTGATCACCTTAATAGTTCATGACTCTTCCAGTTCTTGGTTGATAAACAGAAGGGCACCCTGAGACATTTGTCTCAGTTTACTATGTTTATTTCTGCATACAATGGCTATTGCCCTGTTGTAACAATCTACTGCATAGTAAGTCAGATAGTCAGATTCCCTTTTGAAATCCCTCTCCTCAAAGCATTTCCTTTGTAACCATAAATATTAACTGTGACATAAAGAATTGTGTTTACAGCTGTTGTAATCCAAACACGTTGTAACCCAATTGTTCCTGCCCATCCTCTCTTAGAAATGTTTCAGTAATCTGTAATCATTTTGGATGTAGTATGCTGCTGTGCAAGCAGTGGCATCACTAGAAGCAGGCATCCCAGGGCATATGCCCCATGTCTCCTGCTGGGTTCCCTGAGTACCTGCAACCAGGATAACCAGCCACTGCAGCAGCTGGCATCTCTCCCTCTCTCTGCTTGTCACAGCAATAGACTTCAGAGCTGAGGAAAGCTCCCCTCAGCCTGGTAGGAATAGTGTTCCCTGCACTCTGTGCTTTAGATAACTCTGGCCCCAGCACTCTACACCCTGTGCATTGCTCCTGATCCCTGCTTTCTGTGCATACCTACTCTTGACCCCTAAAACGCTGTACGGTATGTACTCCTGACCCTTGCACTCTTTGCATTACACACCCTGCACTCTGTACCTTACAGACTCTTACACAATATATATTACATTGTGCATTACATACTTCTGATCAAAGTGTTTATTGTCTCAACATTTGCTGGTTGCTACTAAGCAGTGCCTGATTATTTAATTAAGCCCTTTTTTAATGTAGGCTCAGAAAAAGCATTAGCTCCCTATTATTTTCAGAGTGCACAAAAGCATATGCAATGGAAGTATTTAATTTTTTTTTTAACGATTGTGCTAAGGTTTATACATATCTATCAGATTTAAGCTTGTGGTACAGCAATCATAGCATATTTAATGAATACAAGGAGGCTTGTGTTTTATTTAACCATGCCCATTAAACCTCTCCAAATGCTAATGCATTTTGGCCACACCCACATTTTTCTCTCCTTTGAATACCCAAAGGTGAGGACATTAAACCTGCACTTGGTGCCATGATTGTATATGATCAGGGACTGCTGCAACTTAGGCTCGTTCACACTTGACTGTTTTACCAACTCTTGCCATACGTCCCTATAGCGTTTGGCAAGCGTTGGTCCGGCGTTTGCCGAGCATTAAAAATGCCCCACAAACGCCTATCATGAAGTTTGGATGGTGTTACCGCCCCGCAAACGCCCCGCATTCTAGACTAGAATAGGAGGCTTCAACGCCTCCTGACTCGACCAGAGGCATCTGTTTTGCTGCACCGCGACGCGCCAAGACGCCACCGCTCCCATTAGAACAGCACCATGTGCTGCAATGGGCAGAATTGTCCGAGACGTTTGGGAAGGGGTAAAACGCTTCCAAACACCTTTCTGCAGCTTGAAAACAAGGCTAGTGTGAACGTAGCCTTACAGTATCAAAATAAAAGATATCTAAAAGAAGAAAAATATATAAAAATATACCCACACCTCATGAAAAAGTGTTCATGTGCAACCATTTTGCAATTTATACATACAATTCATTTAAAAAATGGCTATACAAAGTGCTTATGTCGGGGCAATTCATATAATATACATAAAAGTGCTATTTATCCCAAAAAGATGCTCATTTGCTTGTCATTTAAATTAATAGTAAAATATTCATCAAAAGTTCATAGGTTTTTAGGTAGACAGTTGCTGTGTAAATTCCACTCAAATTCCTCTACTGTGCAACCACCACAGCCACAAAATAGTCTCCTATCAAATGTACACCCTCCAAATTCTAAGAGACTGGTACAGCAGATAACACTTCTCATGAAATCACAGCAACATTCTAGCACAGCACAACATTTTGCGTCTCCCTCCGGAATCAAACACGTCCTCATTCGACTCTGGCTCCAGCAGTCACTCAGAAAAAACAAAACAGCAAAACCATGACCAATACCTTAAAGCAGAGCTCCACTCAAAAGGGGAAGTTCTGCTTTAAAGACTTGTTCCCCTCTCCCTGAAGGTGCTAATCCTTAACGGGGAGCGGGTACCTGAAATTGACAGGTACTTGCTCCCACTTCCACTGTGATCGCCTAGGCAATTAGAAGAAGAAGTTGTCCCCCCCTCCCCCCCTTCTCCTAGTCTTCTGGGACACGTGACAGGTCCCAGAAGACTACAGGACCATTCAGAAAACACAGCGATACTCGTGCATGCGCAGTGGGCACCCGGCTGTGAAGCCACAGGCTTTTTTTATTAAAGTCGGCAGCTACAATTTTTGTAGCTAATGACATTTATTTTTTCATAGTTTCTCTGGAACTCTGCTTTAATTGCAAATCGGTTTATTCGCAAATCAAGAAATAGTCCCAAAGTCTAAAAAAGTGCTGGAGCTGTAAACAATATACTTTGATCAGTCCTTTGTGCAAAAAAATAAAGTGTTTTTTCCAAATGACTGTGCTTGCTTTATTCTCTTCACACCTGTGACCCACAACAACTAGAGCAAATAGTATATATACGTCTTCAGTTGGGAGTGGAATACCGCCCAGTGGGTCCAATCATTTTATGATCTGCCATAACAAGGTTTGATTTTTATGACACTGATAAAGCAGCTGGCCATTAGAGATGATTGGAAAAGACTAAAAGGCTATATCCAGAAATGAGACTCATTGGATCTACGAGTTAGACACCCTAAATCCAGGAGGTCTAAATAGAGACATAGACCTTAATTATTTCATCTCCAATTTCAAAACGTAGACCAAACTGAATATATAGTTATAAAAATACCCTCATTATGATTTCGGTTTTTTTAAAGATAATAGTTATACATATATCAACATCTTTTGTATTATATTATTTTTTATGACCATCTTAGTTTGGTTTTCAGTAGCAATACAGGGGGCTGTTTAAGATAGAATTTAAGCATATTTGTAATTTAAAAGTACACCGCTAGATGACACTAGTGGTGGAAAAAAATATAAGGATATTTATTTATGGCTGTTTTTATTGATAAATTATCTTATGTATTGCTATATAACTATTCCAGTATGTAGAGATAAAGCAAAGTGGAGTTTTATGTAATATGATTGTTGTTCAGTTCAAAAAATTACCCAGTTTATGTGTAACAGCTATTTAAAAGGTTAAGTAGCACATCCTATATAGAGAGGAGAGGAGATGCTAGCCATACCACTACTAGCAACATCCTGGTGTTGATGAAACATGTTGGGTGGAGAATGGGTGTCAGGAATAGGGCTCACCTGCCGGGTGGGCTGCAGTACCGGTGCTTGCCAGCAGGTTTGTCAGGAATGGGCTCACCTGCCGTGTGAGCTGCAGTACCGGTGCTTGCCAGCGGGTGCTTTCGGCAGCCAGGATCTCACTCCTGCAATCAAGCCATCACCTGAGGCTAATTGAAGGAGGTATATTTAAGCAGCACCAGGCCTGCAATCAGTGCCTTGGTGTTTTCCCATGAGCCCCTGTATCTTGTTCCTAGGTATCCAT